ACCAATTGCAAACTTGATAGTATCCATATATTCTTTATAAAAACAAAATAAATAAATAAATAAAAATTTTAACTATCATGATGCAATAAAAATTGTAAGAAAACATAAAACGTCTTCTTTTATCAATATAAAAGGTAACAAAATTTTAATGATTATTATTAATCTAATGATTTTTTCTTTCAAAATCTTTAAAAAATCAGCAACATCTAAATATGTCAAATTATTGAAACCTTCAAGAGGAACATTGTCACAATCATTATTTTGATATATAAAATTTACCTCTATATCACTTTCTTTCTTTTTTAACGAGGCTTGATAAAGCTCGACTAGGTGCTAGGTGCTTGGCGTACGATAAGTACGCAACCAATATACCTTCATACCACATATATAATACTCATTTTCGAATGCTAACGATAATTATTCCGACTATGACTATAGATATTGCTACGACCTCATCCACGTCCATGGCCGCAACCACATCCCCGTCCATGTCTAAAATAATTATAAGATGTCACATTCACTTCAAGGAATGAAGTAGACCCGATTAGGCGGGATTCATGATTTTTCATTAGTAACTCATTATTTAATTCAATCACAAGTAGGCATAAAATCAATTCGTAGTATTTCTTAAAACCTTTTTCTAGATATTGTTGTTGCAGGAGTATATTCAAGGCATGAAAAGTAGAGAATGTTTTGTTTAACATATCCGAATCGGTAATATTTTCTCTACATAATTTTAGTTGAGAATTGATTCTAAATACTACAGAATTATACTCACTTAATGTTTTGAAATTTTGTAATCTTAAGTGCATCCAATCATAACGAGCTTTTGAAAGAATTATCGTCTTTTAGCGACTGCATCTTTCCTCTAAATTTTTTCACGAGTTCAAGTGAATCTTTTACTATTAAATATTCAGTTTTTAAATCCTCATGGAGATGATGAAGAAGGAAGATCATTGCCTTAGCACAATTTTGCAAGGATTCTTGATTATCATCCATGATTATTTTTCTAAGACTATTACCATTTAAATGTATCTCAACATCAAGCACCCATGATAAATAATTCTTACTTGAAATGTTAAAGGCCACAAAATCAAGCTTTTTGAGGTTTAACATGATAAAAATTCTATAATACAATATATAATAATAATGTTATAATATAAAAATAAACATAATAATAAAATTCAAACTTTTCGAAACAAGCATGCATTAGATTATTAAAATATATATTAGATTATTCAATTTTTTCAAATGTATACTATATGTACCATTAAATTTAAAGTAAAAAATAAATTAGATACATACCTCTTAATAGTCTAGATAATTTGTGTCGTTTCATATAACAATCGTATCGATAACATGTTATAAAAAAAAAAACAATAGGAGAATTGAAGAGAAAGATGATTAAAAAAAATGAATTCACTATAAAATAAAGTGAATACAAGTGATAAGAATTTTAAATTATTCTCTTAATCTCTCCAAAAAAACTTATACGCCAACTAATGAACAATCAAGCCTATTTATAGGCTTTAAAATTGAGAAAAAAATTAGAATGGACTATGAATAATTAAAACTATATAAATTATTGAATCAATTGCATCACCTTTTCGATTTCTCATATTGAATGATAAATTGAATCACATTAAGAATTATGAGTAGTGGGGATATAAAAAGTATATGAACATTTATTATTTATAAATGTCAAATATTTAATTTTATTTTTTAATATTCGTCTATTTATTACACATTTAATACCCACTAAAAGTAACTTGTCAAATATTTTGTTTTAGTCCTTATAATTTTCAATAAAATTATTTTTTTCCTTAATTAAAATTAATATTTTTGCAATTTGGTTCTTTATTTATAAATTTTTGGTGTTCAAAGTTTTCATAAAAACATTTTGGTTTTTTTTTTTTTTTTTAAGTTTCTACAATCAAATTCTTGCATGTCAAATTTTTTTTTTAATTGAGATCTTACATATGACATGTTTCATGTATTGAAAAGCAGTACATTATATTGTAACGAGATGATTTCAAACAAAACAAAACAAAGACTAGAGAATCTCAATCAACATAAAGAGTCTAGATAGGGTTAAAACCCAATTAGTAAAACGAAGTTCTATAATTCAAAATTTTATTTAATACACGATGAATCGAAGTATATAATTTAGTTCTACACTTCTACCGTTGCTACAAATAGGAAACATTAAAACTAAATTCTTCATATGACACTAATGGGACCAGAGGTTGGTAAATTTGTGCCTTGGGGGGACTTAGGGGTTGTCCAATTTTAAGATTCGGAGGATCTTCGTTTTTAGGTGATGAAGTTGATGCACCTTCCGAAGAAGAACCGTGAGGAAATGACCTTGGTGAAGGGATCCGGATGGGTGATGGGCGACAAAAGGTAAAGAACCAACCAAGCTTGTAGGGTCGTTAAGCATGTAAGGATGGTAGCTCGCCCTTGGATCATTAATCATGGAGACAAATGGTGCTCGCTGGGATGGCTTTACTAGTCAGGAAGCGCCGCCGCCCATTGGTAAAGACTCCTTGCTCGTAAAAAGATAGGAGATAATTAAAATCATTTCTTGGAGAAAATTGAACAAAAGAATGGTACTTACGATTACATAATTTAAGTAATGCCGATATGCTAATTCCGGAAATTATGTTTGCTTTTATATAGCTACAAAAACATATATTATGTGAAGAACATTTTTTGCTTATAAACTAGAACTTAGTTTGGGGTTTCAAACTAGGTAAATCCCGAATGATGATGAGAAATTAATGGTTTATGTACCTTAAATAAAAGAGGCAGACTTACTGATTACAATTTTATGAATTTATGCAGTCCAAATTCATAAAAAAAAAATGTTAGCATCGGGAGCCAAACTAATTCTTACCATATAAGGATTGTAGTTTGAAACACCACCAACTCGCGACAAAAGGACTCATTGCATGGGGATTATCCAAGCAAAGAAAAGGGAATCGGTTTATGAGTTGAGTTGTGCTCATAGTCCGTAAATTAAGATCAAAAGAAACTTGCATGATTAATAAGTTCTATACGAGTTAAAGATATATAAAGTTGCTTGCTAAAGGTGGAATTTACTTGTGATGGGATATCATCACCGACTTTCTTCAATGGTGAAGTCGAAGAGGTGCTAGCCTGGTTGATTGCAACAAGCCATTACAACTACATTTCACTTATTCAAACGAAAAGTTTTGAGCAAACTAACTTAAAAGAAGCAAGTTGGATTTACTCGTGATGAACTCCCACAAGTCTTAATTGAAGGCGGTTTTGGAGTATCCCGATGAAAAGCCGGATCCCGATGAAAGTTATCAAAGAACTATAGTAAAATATCATAAAATACACACTTTTATGGGAAAAGGGTATATATTAGAGTGACTACTTGGAAGAGAGAGAGAAAGATATACGAGTTTCTTCGAAAGTCATGTCAAAGAGGCTTGATCTACGTTTCTTCTTCTCGATCGAAGCTCGTTGCCTCGTAAAATACTTCGTGCATGACTAGCAACCCGACTTGGGTTTCTAGTAATCACAAAATTCTTGGAAATCCCTCTCCAATCGCCCTTGCCAAGCTTGCTTAGACCGACTAAAAATGTACGGTGCTCTTCCTCCGTCCATGGCTTTCCCGGAAATGATACAAGATGTCAATCAAACACACAAATAACCCCATGTACGGATCTCACAGATTTCACTTGTATTTTTAATCATCTAATTCTTGAACATGACTATCGTTATGACTTCAATTTATATAGATCAATAAATAAACAACAAATAATAAACAAAAATAAATTAAATAATAAACAAAAACAAACTAATCAATAAAACAATCTAAATAACAAACAAAAACAAACTAATCAATAAACATGTGTTACTATCGCATGGCATCATCGTTGATAGAGAAATAAATAAATAAAACAAATAAAACAAAGTAAATAAGAAATAAATAAATACAAAATCTAATAAAACAAACTAAATAATAAACAAAAACAAACACTTCATAAACATGTGTTATTATCACATGGCATCATTGTTCATCATTGCATGGTAATCGCATGGATTCTTTCTAGATCTCATAGATTTCACTTTTGTTTTTAATCATCTAATTCTTGAATATGAATAATGTTATGACTTCAATTGATATAGATCAATAAATAAACAACAAATAAATCAATAAAAAATCTAAATAATAAGCAAAAATAACTAAATAATAAACAAAAACAAACTAAATAATAAAAAAACAAACAAACTAATCAATAAACATGTGTTACTATCACATGGCATCATCGTTGATTAAAAAAATAAATAAATAAACAAATAAAAAAACTAAATAAGAAAGAAAGAAAGAAATAATCTAATAAAACAAACTAAATAATAAACAAAAACAAACAATTCATAAACATGTGTTATTATCGCATGGCATCATTGTTCATAATCGCATGGCAATCGCATCGCATGACAATAGCATGAATTCTTTCTAGCTCACAAATTTCTATTTGTTAGCCAATCATGAAATTTTTTTTGTAACAATGCATAAACCTTATACAATAAATTAATAGAAGATATACAAGCAACAAATAAATCAATAAATCTAACTATCTATATATAAATAAATAAAATCAACTTCACATATCCATAAAAGATACAGACCATCGACGATGATTATTGCATATCATAATCATAATCAGTAATTCTTTTACCAGTATCGACGACGATTATCGCATACGATAACCATAATCTACAACAATAACATTTTTCCAAAACAAAAAACAAAAAAAAATCCTTAATGAGAATCATTTAAAAGAAAGAGAATCACTAAATTCTTTTAAAGAAAAAAAAATTACAAACACTCATCACATGGCATAGCCATTCCTTTAAAGAAAAAAAAAATATATATATATATATATATATATATACACACACACATAACAAACACTCGAAACAAGAATCATCACATAGCAATTGGGGATGATAATCACCCATGGTTATTGTACACCCGATACCGGATGACAATCAACAGTCTGCGATGATTGTTGGCGACAATGAAAATCAAGATTATTATTAGCATTCAGTAACAAATAGATGAGAGATGCAACAAATGAATCACATATACCTTTCTTCTTTCCGTAGGTTGTTTTGCCTGTCTTGGAACCAATACAGCCGTCAGAATTATAGCCAGCATCGACATGATGGGCAACGTTATTGTCATCTAAGAACTCTATGTTATCTAAGCTAGCACTTCTTTTAATTGGTGGTTCATGTTTCTCAATACTAACACCAAACAATTTGATACAACCTTTAGCACATGTTCTTGAGTTATGGCCATTGTGGCCACAATTAGAACACTTTCTTGCAGCCTCTTTCACCATTTTTGGGTAAAGAGAAAGAGGCTAATCTAGATGCGATAATAACCAAGAAACAATTTACTAATTGTGTGTCAAATGAGGAGGTTGAGCGTCTATTTATAGGTCTAGGTTTTCTTTACTATAGCAACACGTATCCTAGTAACCTTTTGCCAATTTTATTAGGAAAATCTGGTCCTTTCTGTGCATAGATCACATCAGGAAAATCCACCAAGTCAAACGCTTAAATAATCCAATCTGTGTGTTCCTTTAAAAGGGTTGAGATTTTAATAAATGGGATTTTTTTCACATGAAAAATCAACCATTTAGATCTTAAATAAGCATGTCCTATTCCTAATTATGCTTAACGCAATATTAATAATGCCATATTTTTATGAATTTTTGTTTCTGATTAAATTAATACTTGCTTTTTTTGGGATTATTAACGTGCCTCTATAAACCCGGCCACGCATCTAACATTTCTGTTATCGATATATAGTGTGTTTTTCAATTTGAGAAAAAGACATCCACAAAATAATAATAATAATAATAATAATAAGTAAATAAAAGAGAAGTTTTGGTGGACAATTAGATATCTTTCCTTGTTAGTTAACAGGCAGAATCTAATCAAACACAGCCCAGATTTACTTATGTCCACGGTCATATATGTCATTTTCTCACCGCTAAAGTTGCAATGATATCCCTAATATTGTCAATGTATTACAATGTCGTCCTTCTTTTCCAATTAGATTGTAGAATTGGAGATTGGAAACAGTTGTAACCTGCTATTTTTAAATATTAAGGATATAATGTGACTGTGTTAGAAAAAAAGGTAATAGCTTATTTAGATGTATTTGACTGTTTAAATTTGGATAATAAAGTTTGTTACTTGGTTGCAAAGAAAAGGAAACTTAAGCATATATTGGTGATGAGATTAGATTGTACCGAATGGGATAAGGCTATTCAATAGCTAGAAAAGGTAGGATACAAATCCTCCTGTCAAAAACACACCAAATAGTATAAAATGAAATGCCTTTGTCCTCTCTAATTAAATTTCATCTTCCATAATTAAGATTGTGTGCCTTCCACCTGTATGTCCAGCAAAGATGCATGAAAAGAGATCTTGCTTATTGCCTTTGTAGCCAAATGGCGTGGCAATTTGTTTTGTTTTTTTGGTTTTTTCCTAGAAAGAACAAATTAATTAACAGTCAAATTAATTAATACTACAGGTGTTGATTATCTTGCCTGAAAAGACTACGCACTGTTCTTTTGTTTTTGATTTCCTTTTTCAAAATATCCTGACAAATGTCACAAAAAAAAAAAAAAATGGTTACCCTTAACACCTTTTCCCTTCTTTTCTTCTTTTGTTGAAACTGGAAGTCATACAAATTAATAAAGCTATTCAACTCCTAATAAAAAATTGATTTTACTCTCAAGGAAAATGAGAGATTTGAAATTTATAAAACTTTTAAAATTCAACTATTATAGTGTTCTCGCTGATGAATGTGACCATTGATTGTATCATATATATATATATATAGAATGTCCAAATTAATGTTTACGTTTTTAGTTTTAACAAAAAGTTAAGGATATGGCCTTGGTAAGTTTTGAAGTGTTAAGGCCAAGTTTCTCATCTGTAGAGTTTTAAGCAGGTTATGAATACCTAATTTCTTGTTATGGACCACCATCTACATTTAGATGTCCATAGACCTTAAAAAAAAAAAAGATATCTTTAACATGGCTTTTAAGTATTAATAAAGATAAAAAACAATATCGAGATTCATTAATTTTTGTATCCATAAATATCAAATCATATTAGATACGAATCCGATACGATTATAAACTATTTAAATGATTTTAAAATATCTATCTTCAATAGCATTTCAAAATCTTTGATTTAGAATCAACAAAATTGATAAATGAAAGTATTCTCGTAGAATAGTTAAGATTCAAATTTTAAAAAAAAAACTTTTAACATTCAACTATTATAATTAATATTTTTTAAAAAAATCAAATAAAAAGCTAAGTATATCATTGGGTTAGTTTTTCCATTCTCCTTCACTTATTTTTATTCCAATCAAATTTCAAGTGGGCCACCAAGACCCATACTAGTACACATATGAGAAATCAATTTATCTCCTCATCTTTTAGGACTCAAATCCAAACGATAATGTGAAAAACACACTATAATAGCATATATGAGAAATAATTTTATCTTCTTATCTTTTAGGACTCAAATCCAAATGATAATGTGAAAAACACACTATAATAGTATATAATTTACACACGAAACCATTAAAAGTTATTATTGAAGAATAATATCAAGGTTCATTAATTTTTATAAAAAGAATTTATCGTATATTCATAGATATCGAATTATATCGGATACGAATTCAATAAGGATATCAACTACTTAAATAATTTTAAAATATATTTCCTCAATAACATTTCAAAATTATTGAATTACAACCAACATGATTGATAAATGAAAGTAATTCTCATGAAATAGTTAAGATTCAAATTAAAAAAAAAAAAACTTTAAATTAGACTTTTAACATTTAAATATTGTAACGTTATAATAGTTAAATGTTAAAAGTGGGCCACCAAAACCCATGCTAGTGTGTGTGTGGGTGTCTATATATATATATATGAGAAATCATTTTATCTCCTCATCTTTTAGGACTCAAATCCAAATGATAATGTGAAAAACACACAATAATAGCATATACTTTACACAAGAAACCATTAAAAGTTATTTATTGAAGGATAACATCAAGGTTCATTAATTTTTATGAAAAGAATTTGTTGTATATCCATAAATATTGAATTATATCGGATACAAATTCGATAAGGATATTAACTACTTAAATGATTTTAAAATATCTATCCTCACTAACATTTCAAAATTATTGATTTATAACCAAAATGATTGATAAATGAAAGTAATTCTCATGAAATAGTTAAGATTCAAATTAAAAAAAAAAAAAAAAAACTTTAAATTAGACTTTTAAGATTCAACTATTATAATGTTATAATAGTTAAATGTTAAAAATGGGCCACGAAAACCCATACTAGTACATATATATGAGAAATCATTCTATCTCCTCATCTTTTAAGACTCAAATCCAAATGATAATGTGAAAAACACACTATAATAGCATATAATTTACACAAGAAACCATTAAAAGTTATTTATTGAAGAATAATATCAAGGTTCATTAATTTTTATAAAAAGAATTTGTCGTATACCATAAACATCGAATTATATTAGATACGAATTCAATGAGGATATCAACTACTTAAGTGATTTTAAAATATCTATCCTCAATAACATTTTAAAATTATTGATTTACAACCAACATGATTGATAAATGAAAATAATTCTCGTGAAATAGTTAAGATTCAAATTCAAATTCAAAGAAAAAAAAACTTCAAATTAGATTTTTAACATTTAACTATTATAATGTTATAATAGTAAAATGTTAAAAGTGAGCCACCAAAACCCATACTAGTATATATATACACATATATGTGAGAAATCATTTTATCTTCTCATCATTTAGGACTCAAATCCAAATGATAATGTGAAAAACACACTATAATAGCATGTAATTTATACAAGAAACCATTAAAAGTTATTTATTGAAGAATAATGTCAAGATTCATTAATTTTTATAAAAAGACTTTGCTATATGGCCATAAATATCGAATTATATCGGATACAAATCTAATATAGATATCAACTATTTAAATTATTTTAAAATATCTATCCTCAATAACATTTTAGAATTATTGATTTACAACCAACATGATTGATAAATGAAAGTAATTCTCATGAAATAGTTAAGATTCAAATTAAAAAAAAAACTTCAAATTAGATTTTTAACATTTAACTATTATAATGTTATAATAGTTAAATGTTAAAAGTGGGCCATCAAAAATCATTTCATCTCCTCATCTTTTAGGACTCAAATCCAAATGATAATGTGAAAAACACACTATAATAGCATATAATTTACTCAAGAAACCATGAAAAGTTATTTATTGAAGAATAATATCAAGGTTCATTAATTTTTATGAAAAGAATTTGTTGTATATCCATAAATATCAAATTATATCGGATATGAATCCGATAAGGATATCAACTACTTAAATGATTTTAAAATATCTGTCCTCAATAACATTTCAAAATTATTGATTTACAACCAACATGATTAATCAATGAAAGTAATTCTCATGAAATAGTTACAATTCAAATTAAAAAAATAATAATTTAAATTAGACTTTTAACATTTAACTATTATAATGTTATAGCAAATGAATGTAACTATATCATAATGAATTGTAACATAGAATCTTCGATCAATATTTTTTTTTAAAAAAATAGAAACATAAAGTTAAGGATATTATTGGGTTAGTTTTTGAATCCACCTAGACTAATTTTTTCCCCAATCAAATTTCAGTTGGACCATCAAAACCTAAACTAATATGCACATGCGAAATCATTTTATTACTCGTATCTTTTTGGATTCGAACTCGGATGATAATATAAAAAGCCAACTACAATACTATCTAATATGCACAAGAAATCATTAGAAGTTATTGATTTAAGAACAACGATATCAAGATTCATTAATCTTCATAATTTTTTTTAATATGCATCTATATAAATATCGAGCCATATCGGATACGAATCTAATATAGATATAAGACACTTAAATAATTTTAAACATTTAATTTCATAACATTTCAAAATTATTCATTAATTTTTACAAAAAAGAATTTATTATGTATCCATAAATATTGAGTCATATTGGATACGAATTCGATACAAATACAAGATACTTAAATAATTTTAAACATTTATTCTCAAAAGCATTTCAAAATTATGAATTTATAAGAACATGATTGGTAAAAGAAGGTGATTTTTAAAGAAAAGCTGATATTTAAATTAGAAAAAAACCATTAAATCAGATTTTTAAAATTCATCTATTATAATGCCCTAGTAAATGAGTGTGACCACGTGCAACATAAAATATTCCAATTAAGGTTACATATAAAACTTAAGGATATCATCAAATTAGTGTTCGATTCTTCCAAACTATGTTTTTTTTTTTAATCAAAATTTAAATGTGCCATCAAATTAAACCTAAACTATGCATACATAAAAAAAACATTTTATCGTTGCGTTTTTTGGAATTTGAATCTAAATCATAAATTAAAAGCCTACATTATGTCAATAAACTATTAGAAATTATTGATTTAAGACTGATATCACAATTGGAAATATCGTTCGTTATCCTCCCAAAGCACAAAATCATAATTGAGGCACAAACGTAGGATTTTCGTCCGAAAATTGGAAATAATGCTCGCCATCCTTCCAAAACACAAAATCACAATTTAAAACACGGACGTAAGATTTTGGTCAAAAAATTAAACATAAGCCTCGCATCTTCCCAAAGTGCAAAATCACAATTTGGACACAAACGTCGGATTTTGCTCAAAAATTGGAAATAATGCTCGCCATCCTCCCAAAAGCGCAAAATCACAATTTGGACATTAACGTAGGATTTTCGTCTAAAAATTAGAAAGAAGGATTGCTATTTTAATACAAGTGCACATTCACAATTTGGATACAAACGTAGGGTTTTTGTTCGAAAATTGAAAATAAGATTCACCATCCTTCAAAAAGTGTAAAATAACAATTTGGACACAAGATTTTTGTCCCAAAAATGGAAAAAAAGGCTTGCCATCCTCCCAAAGCAAAAAATTACAATTTTGATACAAATGTAGGATTTTCATCTGAAAATTAAAAATAAAGCTCGCCATCCATACAAAATCACAAAGAATCACAATTTGAATACAATTGTAGGATTTTGGTTGGAAAATTGGATATAAAGCTTGCCATCCTCCCAAAAGCGAAAAATCTAAATTGACAAATGTAGGATTTTCATCGGATAATTGAAAATGATGCTCGTTGTCTTTGTAAAAGCATAAAATTACAAATGAGACATAAATGTAGAATTTTGGTTCAAAATTTAGAAATAAAGCTCGCTATACTTCTAATAGCTTAGAATCATAATTTGGACACAAACGTTCGTCTAAAAAATAAAAAATAAGGCTCACAATCCTCCTAAAAAAAATTATAATTTGGATAAAAATCCTACGTTTTTCTTATTAATATCTAAAAAAAGTTATATGTATCAATAAATATGGAATCGTATCGGATATGAATCTGATATAGGCACATAATTCTTAAATGATTTTAAAGTATCTATCCTGAATAGCACATCATTAAAACTTCAGGGCTAGTTGGTCACAACATCTGAAAAGAAAAGATGGTCCCAACATTTAAATAGAAAAGAAGCGAAGAGGAAAGAAGAAGCGGATAGTACACACAAAAATCTCTCTTCTTCCGTAAATTCCATCAGTCACTCGCCGTCTGTCGGGCTCTTTCACTTTCTCTCACCGTCTGGCCCAATCCTCAGCTCAACTAGAAATACTGTACGGTCCGTTCAATCAAACCGTACAAACTCAGACAACTCTGTTCAGGTTCGGTTAGGGTTTGTTTTTTCAATGGTTTGATTCGACAATTTTAAATTAACTTACCAACTTCTTCAGCTCATTGCAACTAATTGTAGGTTTTCTTCTGTCTCCTTCAAAACCTGGTTGTGTTCGAATACTAAATTTACTACTAGCTACTATGAAACTACGAAACATTGAATTAGCGTAACTGAAGAATGCCGGGGATTCCTTTAGTCACTCGTGAAACCTCCTCGTATGTTTTTTTTTTGTTATTATTAATTCGTCATTTTATGATTTAAATAATTTTATTATTCTGTGAAATTTTAATTTTTGTTCTTATTGGAAGGTATAGTAGAAGCACCATAGATCAGATGTGCCGCGAAGATGCACGTGGTGGTTTGCATTTAACTGAAGAAGAAGAACTTGCTGCAGAAGAAAGTCTTTCGATTTATTGCAAGCCTGTTGAGCTTTATAATATTCTTCAGCGTCGCGCAATCGGAAATGTAATTTAATTTACATTTTAGCCTTATTGTTTTTTATTTCTTAAAAAAGTTTGTTCTCCTTTTTGTTTTTCTGATTGAATATTACTTTCTTTTTGTTTATGAGGTAGCCGTCTTTTTTGCAAAGATGTTTGCTGTATAAAATACAGGCGAAGAATAAAAGAAGGTACTGGTGTTCCATTCTAATGTTCTCAAGTTTGTATGATTTGCAGCAGTGAAATAGTTTTGTTGAAACTTTTTAAGGTTGAAAATTGGTGTGTGGATTTATTTATTCGAGCTGTAATTGGTTGTTTAGGACTTCGATGATACGACCCCGGTTATGGTTGTTTAAGGATGCTGGCTTATTTTTGTCGATTAAATTTTGAGGATGTGGATGAGTTTGGGGTACTAACTAGGTATCTTTTAATTGAACATGTAGAATACAAATGACAATTTCCATGCCTGTGACTCTAAATGGAGGTGTACAATCGCATAATATATTTCCCTTGTACATTTTGTTGGCAAGGCTTGTATCCAACATTGGGGTTTTAGAGGTAAGAATGCATCTTTTTCCTTTTCCTAGCCATATTGATGTATTCTAATGCTGTTGGAGGTATTATTATGTGGTTATTATCTATTTTTAATGATCTGCTTTGCTTTTGTATCGCACAATGAAGTATTCTGCAGTATACCGCTTTAGTCGACCATGTGTTTTGACCAGCTTTGCTGGAGTTGAGGGTAGTACTCAAGCACAAGCAAATTTCATTCTCCCTGAGATGAATAAGCTAGCATCAGAGGTCAAATCTGGCTCACTGTATGTCTTGCTTGTCAGCTTTGGTATGCATTTGAACGTTTGATTAATACACGAGAACTTATATGCCATATAATTTTTTTTTGTCTTATTATCACTATTATTTTTGGCAGCTGGGGCCCAAAGTTCTATGCATGGAATCGATTTAACCAAGGGTCATTTGGGTATGGAATTGTTTCCATGTGAGATATGCTTTGGTTTCTTGACTACTTCTTATATGACGTCATGTGGAAAGTGTTGCTAACGTGTGCTATATAGTACTTTCTAGTAACTGGTCTATTTCTAATTTTTCATCGCCAAGAAACTACTCAAGATATTGTTTTTAAGGTTCAAAAATTTTTGTTTCTATTTTACATGGAGAAAAGAAGTAATAAACCAAACAATGATGACAAAATGTCATGTCAAACAACTCAATGTCACAAGTGAAATTTGGCCTTATCAAAAGGGTTTTCATTGCCTTTTCCTTTTGTTTAAATAGTTGTTTATTTGTATCTTGAAATCCAGTTTTAAATTTGAATTATGGCTTGTACATGGCAGAAAATGTTGGAGGATGCTGTCTATTGGGAAAGATACCATTAGACTCACTGTGTAATTTTTGGGAGAAGTCACCAAATTTGGGTTTGGGACACAGATTGGAGGTGCCATCTCCTGTTGACATGAATGCTTGTTTCTTGAAGGTAAATCACTGATATCTCCTTGGTAACTATTTATTTTCTGTTTTTTTTCGTGAACAAATGATGTTCTGATAAGTACTCTAAATCCTAACTGACTCCACACTGATACCCATCAGAGAGGCTGGAACCTGATTCATCGTAGTAAACAAATGCTATCACAATGTAGCCTAATCATTGCATAAAACATAATGTTATGGGTTAAGACAATTTTTTTTTTGACTTAATTGCATTATTCAAAGAACAGAATTAGGCATTGCTCCTTTGTTGTCTGCCAAATGGCTGTGTGTAAATAAGCTACTATTGACTGCTGGTGTTCCTGCATGCTTTCACAAAGTTTGACATTGACCTGTAGACTTGCCATTCGCCATGCTGTTCTCAGCTGTAGAAATGCTGTATATATTCTGTTGTATGATTAATAGCAATGTTTGAAAGCTGACATTGGCATCTTCATCAGTAGCCTCATGACAAGGAACGTAACTTAACCTGAATAAATTAAACTGTCAGAATTATTTGTTTTGTGCAGTCTGATTTTCACAGGTTCATGGTATTTCAAAATTTAAGAGTGCTCTTTTGTGTTTCTTCTTGCAGTTGAATTCTTTGACTGAGGACAATTGCGTTTTAATCCAAATTCCATTCAATTCTGAAACTGTGGTTTGTTCTGTTCTCAAAGGTCTTTTAGTTGGCCAAAAGCATTTCATTTATCATATCTTCTGCTAGATGGTTCTTTGCTGACAGAATTATGTCATTTTCATTGTTTGTGTTTTCCAAAGAATACATCACAGCTGCAAGTCAACATTTCTGCAGAAGAAGTTGGGGCTAAGGAAAAATCTTCTTATCATTCTTACACATGTAGTGACATTTCTTCTTCATCGCTGTCTCATATTATTCGGTAATCTCTTATACATCCTAGCATTGAACGCTTTTCAATTGGTTGTGTTGTTCTTTATTGCACTGTGCCTGGTTTGAGAATTCTTTGTTTGCCTATATAGGTATGATAAAGCATTTTCACTACTTGTATTATGTAGGTTGAGGGCAGGAAATGTCATGTTCAACTATAGATATTACAATAATAAGTTGCAAAAAACTGAAGGTAATATTAATTTTCTTTTCTTTGTTTTGTTATAATGCATTGAAATGTGAAACGGGTTCACATTTATGTTTAGATGGAAGAACTTATAACAGCTTCAATCTCGAAGAAAACAGATTTTGTTTTTTGAACGTTTCAATTCCTTGATAGTGGATATTTGCTCAATTGTCATTAAGGGGTGTCTGCAACTTTTGAGTTTTTTCTTTGGCTTCTGTTTCTTCCTACCAGTATAATCTGCAAAGCCCTTTTCCTTTTCCTCTTCTTCAATAATGTGTTGGATGTCTGACTTGCAGTAACTGAAGACTTTTCCTGCCCATTCTGCTTGGTAAAATGTGCAAGCTTCAAGGTTGGAGGTTTTCCCGATGTCTTTTTGTTCCTTCTGATGAAAAGAAAACGATGACTGTCATTTTTCAGGCTGAGTTCTTTTGTTGAGTTCCTTTTTTTTTTTTTTTGGCTCCTTAGGGTCTGAGATATCACCTGCCCTCGTCACATGATCTCTTCAACTTTGAATTTTGGGTTGGTAAACCACAGGAATCTTGGGTGAATTCTGTTCTTTACATATTTTGCATTATAATGATTATTCCCATTTATGTCTTGCAGGTAACTGAAGAATTTCAAGCTGTAAATATATCTGTGAAAACTGATATTTGGAGATCCGAGGTTAGAAATTCCTCCACTATTAAATTCTTCATGGAACTTTACTTGTTTTGATTTTTAAATATTACTCCGACTTTCCCACAACAAGAGTTCATATTTGAACTTTTGCTTGTCTTATATATGTTATTTTTTCAAGTTACGAAGTCAAAAAACATTGCTATATCCAGTTCTTTATGCTTCTATGATGCATTTTTCATGTGAAATAGAATAAAAGAACAAAGTAAGGGTAATAGTGCTTTTCTAAAACAGACATTAATGTACTGCTTTGTTTACAGTTATTGAGAGCTTTGGAATGTTGTTTAGTTTAGTGTCTCATAAACATATAAATATAGGAAATTTTATGATTTATTGGAAGGAGATTCTTGTAATGCTTAATAGATGCCATGTAAAACAAGACAATAAACTAAAAAGAGAACCCATACATATTTCTTTCTTACATACCTTGAGAGCTTTAGAGTAGTTGTTTACTTTAGCACATACATATTGTAAATTATATGATTTTCTGGATGATAGATGGGTTCTTGAGTTTATCACTTTTAGCACTGATTGAAAGAATGCTATTGTTATTGAATTTTTTCTATATACATATACACGGTCAAGTAAAAACTATGGGTGAAATTAAGTGGTCTATGTGAACAGCTAATGTACAAAGTATGATATGTATCCTATTTGTTATTCTTGGAATTCATATGCCAATTTGTTTTGTTCAGATTGTTGCGGATGGTATCGATCCAAAACAACAAACCTTCTTCTTTTGGTAAGTCTTAGATTTTTCTTGCTTGAACTAATAAATCGATTCATCTTCTGTCAATTTTGTTGATATATTACAACACCATAGACTGAAATGGGTCTGTCTTCATTTACCCATAGCTCAAAGAAACCGAAGCGCAAAAGACCCAAGAACCTTGTTCCAAATGCAAAGAATGCACTTGACAAGACTCTGAGCAGGCAACGGGGAGCCAGTGAGCTTCTTGACAAGATTGGTGGTATGTGCTTTCTATTTTTGCCCACGATTTGTGTTGCTATGGAAATATTTAGAGACTGGCTTGATGCATAATCTTCTAGGTTTTCAATTTTTTGTTCCAACGATTAGGAATTTTGATGAACAACAAATGCATAAAAATGGCAGCTCCCTAGGCTTAACCCATGCACAAAAAATTGTTTTCTCTTCTTCTCTACTTCAAAAATTGTCACATCTCTTTCTTCCATAAAGACAACCTTTTTCAAAGCATTATTCTTTTGGGCCAAAAACATAATTTGTGAAAGCATAAGGTGGGCATAATACGACAGATCCATTTGATTCATTGTAGGACTTCATTATCAATCTTTATTCCTGCTGCAAAGTTTTGCTTTTGGAAGTAAATGAACGATCAAGTGGCTTTTTTTGCACACTTGTCAAGAGTCTGGACTGGATGTAGATAATGGAGCACCTACTAATTAGTTGTTTATTGTAATGAAACTATGATATATTTCCAATATATTTATCAAATGCGTTGCACTGTAATTATAGTGCCTACTTTAACAAAATGGTTTTCTTTGTAGGGAGACTTATGCTTGCTTGCTTTACTTTTTTATTTTATGTTTGTCAGTCGGGAACCATCTTTATTCGAGTGCTGATGTCTCAGGTGGGAAGGATTTGCCAACTGCTAGCATGTGTAGCACAGAGTATGGAGAACATAATCGTTCTGGCTGTGATGTTGCAGGGGTTTCAGGTTCTGCAGCACAAGCATATCCTGATGCTGAATGTGTTCAATTGGTACCTGGAAATAATCTTGCACCCCCTGCCATGCTACAGTTTGCAAAGACTAGAAAATTATCAATTGAACGGTCTGACATGAGGAAGTAGGTCTTAGTCCATCTCTATTCTTTTATAGTTTTTTTTTTTAAATAAAAATAAAATTAAGGCAATTGAAAAATGCATGAATAGTAGAATCTACGTTTGTCTGGCCTGGTCAACAAGGTTGAAGTGCTGCATGCTCTATTTATCTACTATACGTGTTAGGTTGTAATGTTTGACGCAAGTTCAAATGTTATGAGTTAATGTGTCCTAGAAGTAGCCTTCGAACTTGTTATCAGATTAATATGGCCAACTGGTGATGCAGACAACAAAGGAAGGAAAACTTGTTTCTTTTTTTTGGAAAATCTGGAAATTTGTCCAAGTCTAGGTTTTATTTTTTGTTTAGATTTTATTAGTCTTAAGGAGTAATTAACTTTATTAAGTTTTTTTTTTTTTATTCTACATAGACTTGGTATTTTCTTATTTAAGAATCTAAGTCCTTATTGGATTTGGACTACTAGAACTCTATAAATAATCATGTAGCCTTTCAATAATATGAATGACAGTCTATGAATAAAATTCCAGCAATTTGTTTTTGACTATGTGACTCAATCGCCCTTTGTGTGAAGCTTAAGTTTTTCTATCCTCTAGGTGTGACTCCTAGAAACCCTATTAGCATCACTAATAATTCTACGATTCCCAATAGAAATCCACTTTAATATGACCCAATATGGTCCTAAACAACTTCTATACTCATATCCAGAACAGCCCTCTAATCTGTCCTGCATCAGTTAGTAGCAGAGCTTTAAGATCCTAGAAGTTTTTTTTGTTGCCTACTCAATCATGGTGACTGTCAATGAAGTCAATACAAGATTTGAAGCCTTTCGACTTGAAGTTGAAGCAAGCAAGAAATCTACGGATGGAAGGTTGGATAATATTGAAGGAAAAGCTACTTGCTGTCACAACAGCTGATAGCTCTTTTCCACAAAATCAAGGTGTTTTGGCTGCCCAGAATACTCAACCAGCTGCTTTGCCCATTCAAAGAAGGAAGCAAATCGATCCACAAGACACTGTTGGTGATATTTACAAAGAAAGTAAAGGTTGATATTCCTGATTTTGAAGGAAAGGTAGATCCTATGCTATTCAATGATTGGATTAGGTCTGTGGAAACCTTCTTTAATTGGTATGACATATCGGATGAACGGAGAGTAAGGTTTGCCAAGATGAAACTAGTTGGGTTAGCTAAATTTGGTGGTATTGTGTTGAGCAAGACATTGATAGACGGAGACTACCATCCATTACTACTTTGGATGAGATGAAAGCTATACTTGAATAGAGGTTCTTGCCATCTAGTTATCGACAAAGGATGCATGACAATGCCTACAACATACAGCAAATCAGCTTGTTAAGTGCTAATTACATGCTGACTTTCAATGAGTTGAAGTTTAGAAAACGAAGAGAGGAAAATTTTAAACAACAGCTGCAACAAGGAGAACATCAGTAACTTTTGGAAGCAAAAAGGTTCACGCTATTGGCAGCAAAACCTGTGCGGCCATCTATTCAACCTGAACAACAATGTGAAGAACAATTCCGGCAACCTAAGGGCCATGAAATGAAGGTAAAAACAGTACAAAGGGATGCTGAAACGTAAAATCAGCATGCAGGAAAGAAATTCAGGGGACAACTAAAGGACGAGGTCAAAGAAGTAATTATCGACATGCCAAAGACAGTAGATATCATGAAGGAACAAGAGCACAACATCAAGGATACTCAAGACAGAGATGAGCAAATTGTACAAATCAATCACATTGACTTCCTTCGTCCACCCAAGTTTGGTGATTCAGTTATAGAGAAAGACATCATGCTTTCCTCACTGTTTTCACTTATGGCAAAGGTTAATTGGCATCAAGTTCAAGACAGTGGCTTCAAGCTATGGGATGAGGAGTGGAACGTGTGGTTTTTGCTACTTTGACTCTTCAAAATTCGAGGTCGAGTTTTCTCCAACTAGGGGAGAATGATGCAGACAATAAAGGAAGCAAAACTTTTGTCTTTTTCTGGAAAATCTGGAAATTTGTACTAGGTTTTATTTTCTATTTAGATTTTATTAGTCCTAAGAAGTAATTAGCTTTATTAGTTTTTTTTCTTATTCTACATAGACTTAGTATTTCCTTATTTAAAAATCTAATTCCTTATTGGATTTGCACTACTAGCACTCTATAAATAAGTATGTAGCCTTTCAGTGTTATGAATGACAATTTATGAATAAAATTCCAGCAATGTACTTTTGATTGTGTGACTCCTAAGAACCTTAGGTGTGAAGCTTAGGTTTTTCTATCCCCTAGGTGTGACTCCTAGAAACTCTAGGATTCCCATTAGAAATCCACTTTAATACAAATCCAATACGGTCCTAAACAGCTTCTAAACTCATATCCAGAACAGCCCCCAAGCTGTCCTGCATCAACTGGAGTTTCCAACTATATGGATTATTGTTGCTGGTTGCAATAGTTCAATATGTTGCAGCTCTATTGTTTAGTAATATGCAGTGTGAAATACTTTTCTAATATATTTAATCTGATTTAGTCACTTTATTCATTGTTTCTTGCTTCAAGCTTATAATTTGTCAGATTGGTAAATATTTTTCGAAGGTTGAATATGGCTTCAATCTAATTATTCTCTTTTTTCAGCCGCACGCTCCTTCACAAACGACAATTTTTTCACTCACATAGAGCTCAGGTGAGTTGTGACTGTTTCAGTAAATGATTCCATTTTGTCATTTACTTTCCTCATAATCTATTTGCAAATTGTTCTTTCAGTTGACTGTTAGGCTTCATTTTGAAGTATGTGATTGGCATCTATTATTGATGGTCGCATGCCATGGACAACCATATTTTAGAGAGAGTATGCATACTGTGTATACATGTATTAGTGTGTTAATGAACATGACACCTTTGAAGATTCCAGGCCTGCACTTGTATTAGCAGAGTTTATTTAAAATTTCTGGTTCTAAATTGGTTAAGACTTACATGTTTTCTTTTGATTGTGGTTCATCTTGATGCAGAACAAAATAGAGGCGGATTTTTTGGGAATCATAAAAAACTGATGGCTTTTTTTAATTTGGTTTTTCTAAAATGTCAAGCTTGTTGCTGTATGCTTTTGATGAATATCAATATCATGCATGTTTGAGTTCACAAGTGTGAACATAATGTTCTGTTCGAAACTCGTTGATTAGTTTTTTTTTTCAAAGGCCTCATTAACTCCAATGGGAGTTTGACTAGTTTTTGTCATTTAATTTCACTCTCCGTTCGAAAACAACATCTATGAATTACTTGGATTCTGTGGACAAATTTTTGAAATTGATTTGTTTGTTTTTTAAGCCAATGGCAATTGAGCAAGTTATGTCAGATCGGGATAGCGAGGATGAAGTTGATGATGACGTTGCTGATTTTGAAGACCGAAGGGTATGTTTAATGATTACATGGCATAATTCTTTTAGTTTGCTACTATTGATGCAATTTTAAAGCATGTCTGTGCATATTGTATACACGCTACCCTTTTTCATTTGATTGATTTTCTGAGCTAAAGTTAGTCCCTTTCAAGTAGTCACTTGGTGCAACTTTAGTCAGCATGCTAGGAAAATGATTGCATTAGCCATCAATAAGATGGTCACTAATAGGTGCTTGATATGGTTACTCGAAGGCCCTATGATTATAGTGCTTTTGAAGCAAAGTAACAAGCTAAGATTTACTAGAAGTTAAATATAAATACTTCATTCATTTGTAATCATCTAAAAATGACTTTTTACAAAATAAACAGTGCTTTTTTCCACTCTAAGATAAGAAGGAACGCTTTTGTGGAATATATCTTGATCATTTGTAATCATCACAATTATGGTGAAATTAGATAGATAGTGAAATAATAAGATAAATAATTACAGTATAATAAGTAAATATTCTTTAATAGTTCCTAACTACTTTTTTTACTCACGTTACGTTGCAAATCAGATAGAACACATAAAATTATTTTTAAAAAAATATTTTGGTTTGATGTTTCGTGTTATATTGTGCATATATCAAAATGTATCAAATCAAAACTGAATAAAAAATTATTCAATTTTATAATTTTTTCATCAAAATTTTGGATTTGACTTATTATTCTTTATATTTTTCATAAATTTTTGAAACATTATTTATTTATCTCTATCCACAAACTAAAAAATTTATAATAGTATAAAAAATGTCAAAATTAATGGATTCTTAGCTAAAAACTTATTTTGTAAATTGTTTTTCTAAACATTTTTTTGTCTTAAAATTTTTAATTTAATAATAAAAAAAAGACGAGTGATCAAAATGAGGAACCAAAATGAAATAAAAAATATTTACAGAGTTAAAAAAAAACAATGTTTAAAAAATAAGGATTAAAATGTAATGTCATAAAATTTTTTATAATAAATGTCTTTAAAATACTTGAAAACTATAAAAATGCCATTGCGTAGTGAAAGGAATAGTGCATCCGAATCTTGGTGAATAGCGTAAATGAGTCCGGGTAAACGAGTGTTTCAAATAATACGAGTGGATAGTAATCTATCATTTTACTTTAGTTTTTTGTTAATTTTACAAATTGAATAATATACTTGTTTCTTTTTTCAACGTAATAATATTTATTGAATCGTAATTGTGCTACATCATTTGCAAGTAGCAAAATTATGCAGTAATTAGTTAACTTATGAAATGATTGAAATAAATTTCTGCAAAAAAATAAGTAAAGGTACTTAATGGTTTGTAACTTTTAAGGCCTATAATTGTAATGCCTTAAAGGAACAATTGAAAAAGCAATCAGTAATAATCTATGATGCTGCAGATGCTTGACGATTTTGTAGATGTGACTAAAGATGAGAAGCAAATAATGCACTTGTGGAACTCATTTGTGAGGAAGCAGCGGTAATCTTCTCTTTACACACATCTTTGTATTGTTTATTTTGTTTCTCATGAAAATCTTTGTATCTGTTTGTGGTTATCAAACAAGGCCATTTTGGGGAGCCATAATATTGGGAACCTTGCCTATTCAACACCATTATGCTCTCTTTGTTTCGACCGAGGATCATATTGAATTAATGTTGTCATGGAGATCTATTGTTTCTAATCTACCTATGTTGCCTGCTGTATGAGTTTTCACATAAATATAAAGTTCATGGCTGTTGGGCGCAAATTGTCTTGTTTTGAACTCATCTGCTTTTCATGCTGGCAGGGTGCTTGCAGATGGACATATCCCATGGGCATGCGAGGCATTCACAAGATTGCATGGACCTGACCTTGTCGTAGCCCCAGCTCTGATTTGGTAACTCGTCTGCTAATTTTAATTTGAAATGCCATCATATCCCACTTTAGTTGGTTCTTATCTTCCTGTTCAACTTCCCCTCTCATATGTACTTACAAGCAGATTGTATCTCCTGTCAGAGCACTTGTTCTATCTCTGTTCCTTTCGTTCAAGGAAAGGAAGGATCCCAAAGAATCAATCTTTCTTTTAGAGATATTTTCTCGTGCTTCAGTCTTTCAGAGCCAACAATATTAATATCACTTGTTCTCATGGACTTGGCAGGTGTTGGAGATTATTTATGATCAAACTGTGGAATCATGGTCTGCTTGATGCACGTTCAATGAACATGTGTAATATGATTCTTGAACAATACCAAAAGCAGGACTTGGATCCTATGAAAAGCTAGAGACATGGTGTTTTTGCATGGACAAGGGAGGAATAAAATTTGCCTTTCCATTTATTAATTCGTTCTTGCATTTAATTGTGGGGCTCAATAGCCTACATTGCCTTTTGTCTCATATTTCTTACTATGTTCCTGTTGAGCAACTGATTTTATATATGCAGAACCACCTTGATCTACACAACGAAGTTCTTAATTTTGTCATTAGTTGCGTATTTGTAGTAAAGATTTAAGGACCTTGCTGGAGAGTAGCTGCTCTACAATGTATCACCTCTGCATGCAGGTTATGTTGTGTAAGAAATTTTTATTTGTTAGATTGGAAGAATTTAGACATTGCTCCCTCGTGAAAAGCAGATTGCGAGAGACTTTTTGTAAATGGTTTGCTGAATGCCTACAGGAAAAGTGTGTAAATGTCCATCGAGAGGGTGTTTTGGGGACTCTGAAGGCGGTTTTCTTAAAAGTTGATTAAAAATAATGTTTTGTTATAAAATAAATAGAAATAATAGGAGAATTGAAGAAAAGTATGACAAGAAAATGAAATCACTTTAATGTAATATAAGTGATAAGAATTTCAAAGTTTTTCTTATACTCTTTATGAAACTTGTACATCAACTAATGAATAATCAAGTCTATTTATAGGTTTTAAAATTTAGGAGAGAATTGGAAGGGACTATGAATAATCAATTGTATCACTTTTTCAATTTCTCATATGAAATGGTGAATTGAATCATATTAAGAATCATGAGTAGTGGGGATATGAAAAGTGGATGAACATGATGATGGAAATTCATTATTTCATAACACTTTCTTGAATGTCTATTGTAGAAGGAACATACCTCGTTAAAACTTTATTAAGAAAAACCCGAGTGGGAAAAAAATCCTAAGGAAGAAAAAAGAGTACAATATTCCTTGTACATATTAATTCTCATTTTGGTCTCCCCTTGTCGAAAGCATTATTTAAGATCTCTAAGACGACACATTTTAATTTTGTGAGTTATCTTCTCAAAAGTTGTGGTAGGTAATGCTTTAGCGAATAAATCATTGGATTGTCACTTTGATGTATTTTTCCTTCAATGGAATTATGTAAGCAACATTATCTTCATATGATATTATTGAAACTTTTTACTTGGTAAATAAATTGCATGTCTCTCGGATACGATGGATCATTGATCTTAGCCAAACACATTCTCGACTTGCCTCATAAATTGATATTTATGCATGATTTGAAGATGTGATAGCTATAGTTTGTTTTATAGAACACAAAGATATAGTTGGATCTCCATATGTAAATATATAATCAGTTATGATCGAGCTTTGTGTAGATCGGATAAATAACCTGCATTTGCATAACCAATTAATCTTGTCTTTGATTTATTAGAGTAATATAAGTCCATATCAATTATTCATCGAAGATAACATAGTATATATTTAACTTTATTTTAATGTCGACTTGCTAACAAATTTATAGAAAAGACTATATCAAGTCGAGTATTATTAGCAAAATATATCAATGCACCGAGTGACACTAAAATATGGTACTTTAGGATCAAGTAGTTCTTCGTTATCTTCTCGAGGTCGAAAAGGGTCTTTTTGGATATCAAGTGAATAAACTACCATTGGGCTAGTCAATAAATGATCTTTATATAGAATCACTATATAACCTTTTTTCTATGTAAATTGATCGATGAACGAAAATCTCATTCTCCGAGTGCTCGAACTGCAGAGTTGAGATAACATTTTATTTTTTCAAGATATTCACATTAAATTCTCTTTTTAGGTAACTTATAACACTTGGAATCTATTCGGGAGTTCCAATAATATTTAAGTTATCAACATATATAACAAACCCCTTTTCAAATAAAAATATATGAACAAATATGGTTTTTTTTAATAACTTTCTTTCAATAATTATTGGAGTGATTATATCACATGCACATGGGTTAGTAATAAAAAGTAGATATAAAAATAAAATATAAAAAGTATAAATTGAATTTCTAAAAACTAAAATAATAAAACAAATACTAAAACAATCCTAATAGAGATCTCTATAATTTAATTGAATTCTTATATCGAGAATATATACTACATGCTTTTGGCATGTTAAGTCCTTCTAGGACTTTCATACCGATTCATCTCAAATGAACAAATAAATTGTGATCACATTTATTAAATACGGACATATGAATTTTTTCATATATTTTACCGAGCTAATGAGATAATAAAATATAATTGCATCTATTATGAGAGAATATGTCTCATCATAGTCAATGTCGGTTGTTTGTAAAAACTCTTGTGTTGAAAGTTTTGCTTTGTATCTTAAAATCTCATCTTTCTTATTTCGTGTTCACATAAATACTTATTTGTATCCCACCAGACTTGACATCTTCGGGTGTTTTAGCTATGAGTTCAAAAAACTACTCTTTTATAGGAGAACATAATTTTACCTGGATTGGTCTTTTCATTTAGGCCAATCATCTTTATGTCAACATTCTTTAATAATTTAGGCTCAAGATCCTTATTTTCATTCAAAATATCAATTGTAACTTTACATACAAAAATCTTATTAATAAATATTTCTCTTCGGTCCTATTTTCTCTCTATATTGACATAATTTATCAAAATCTCTTGATTTTTCTTAAGCATTTGGACTTCTTCCGGAAGCTTATTATCGAAATATTTTGGATCATTTTGTGAATATTTACATCCTTTATATTTTTATCTTGTCATTTTCTTTTAGGGATTTTTATCTTAGAACCGATCGGTCTTCCACGCTTCGAGTGTGCTTTAAATTTGTTAGCTATAATATTAATAGATCGTCCTTCTAGGACATCAATTCTAACAAAAACATTCTCAACGAGGACATGTATTTTATTTACTCTTTTAGGATGTAAGAATACATCTAGCAGTTGGTTTATAATACCTTGTAAACGAATTATCTTGTGAACTTCTAGTTCACATTGTTTTGTACCAAATCGATATGAAGATAGAGTACTCTATGTAATCTCTTTTTTCAACATTTTCAACTCGCTTATTTTATTTATTCTCTCTCCCTAATGTTGGAAAAACTATTTCATCAAAATGACAATTGATAAATCAAGCTCGTAAAAATATCACTTATTCATGATTAAAGATATTTAATTATCAAAAAGGATTCAAATCCAATATATATTCTCAATCTCCTTTAAGTGCTCGTTTTATTTTCTTATGAAAGAGCACTAAGAATATACACTCGCAATGTCAAAAAATTCTTAAATAAGAAATATTTGACTCATGACCATAAATCAACCGAAGATGAGAGAATTTCTAATAACTTATGAGTCATATGCGAATAAGTGTTGTTGTATGTAAGATTACATGTCCCCAAACATAAATAGGGAGTTTTATTTTCAAATAATGGTTTAGCTATCAATTGGAGCCTTTTGATAAATGATTTTGCTAAACCTTTTTTAGTATGAACATGAGCAAAAAGACTTTTATTTTAATAGCCAATCAATAATAATTTAATGCTTGAGAAATAAATTCATCGACATTATCAAGGTGACGTGTTTTAATAGCATAATTTGAAAATTATGCTCGAAATTAAATTATTTACTAGCAATCTCGAAAAGGTCGGGTTTCGAGTAATAAGCATATAAGTGACCATCTTATGGTTGCATTTATCAAAATCGTAAATTTTTAAATAGTCCACATGGTAGATGAATTGATCCACATATATCACCTTGAATACATTCTAAAATACCGGAGATTCAATCTCAATTTTACTTGATGATTGCTTAATCATTAATTTGCCTTGGCAACATACGGAACATGAAAGTTAATTAAATTGAAGAATCATCTGGCTCTTCAATAGATATTCATATAATTTTTTTAATAATTTTTTCGCATCATGAAAGATCCAAGATAACACAAGTGATCATGTCACATAGTAAAAGTGTTTGAATTAGTAAACTTCGGTTTACTATAATATTTGTTTCAATCATTTCAATGTTTGTAATAAAGATTAGAAGAGAAAATGGATAAATTTTTTGATAGATATTTTCTATCCGATATAATGATTATAATATATAAGTATTCACATTTGCTATCTTAATATGATATCAATTCAGATGAATATCTTTGAAACTCAACAAATTTCTATGAGACTTTGAAGAGAATAGTATATCATTCATAATAAATTTATCCTTCCGAGATAATAACATATTTGCTCTTCCGGAGCCTTTAAATTAGTCACTTCAAGTAATAATATCGACTCTTCTAGAGCCTTTAAAATTTTTCTCTTCAAGTAATAATTTATTCACTCTTCTAGAGCTTTAAAAATTTATCTCTTCAAGTCCTGATATAATCGCTCTTCTAGAGCCTTCAAAATCTATCTCTTTAGATAATAATATAATCGCTCTTCTAGAGCTTTCTATTAGATTGATATTATCATATATAATATTAAAATAAAATAAATAATCAAATAAATCAATACAAAATAAATAAATCAATATATTCCTCATAAACACAAACAAATAAATAAATAGTAAAATAAATTTATAACCATCAATATACGACATAAATTATAAGAAATGTAAATTTTTTTATTTATAAATAGAAAAACTAACAAGTAATTAATTTCAATTACTATTACTTTGATATATAAAAGTGGCCTTCATATTTTACTCTTTATTTTTCAATAAGGCTTGACAAGCCTCAATGAAGTGCTTTGGTATATGACAGGTATGCGATCAATATTCATTCATTCCACATCTATAATATTTATTTTTCAGAATACCGACTTTATCTATTTTTATTTCTTTTTTTCATAGTTATCCACTTCGGTGGTGAGATATAATATTATGGTAATTACGATTATAATGATAATTATTTCGACCATATCCATGGCTATGACCATATCTTCATCCATGTTTAAAATTATTATAAATTATCACATTCACTTCAAGGAATGGAGTAGATCCAATTGAATGAGATTTATTCTTTTTCATTTTATTTAGCCACTAACAAGTATAAAATCGATTCAAAATATTTCTTAAACTCTTTTTCTTGATATGCTACTGCAAAAGCATATCCAAGACATAAAAAGTAAAGAATATTTTTTCAAAATCAAGCACTCATAATTAATAATTCTTATTCAAAATATCAAGAGTCACCAAATCAAGTTTATCGAGGTTTGATATGATAAAAATTCTATAATACAATATATAATAATAATATTAGAAAATAAGAACAAATATAATAATAAAATTAAAGCTTTTCAAATAACATATATTAGATCATTAGTAGATCATTTAAGTTTTTCAAATATATATTTCATGTATCAATAGATTTAAAGTACATGAATAAATTAGATACATACCTCTTAATGATCTAAATAATTTAGATCTTTTGGTAGAGCACTTATGTCGAAGAAATTCAATTGTTGAAACAATTGATTAAATCTTTTGGTAGATACATACCTCATGATCTATTGTCTCGATTGGTTAGAGCTTCGTGCTGATAACGTGTTATAAAATAAATAGAAATAATAGGAGAATTGAAGAAAATGATGACAAGAAAATGAAATCACTATAATGTGAATATAAGTGATAAGAACTTTAAAATTTCTCTTATTCTCTCTATGAAACTTGTACACTAACTAATGAACAATCAAGTTTATTTATAGATTTCAAAATTGAGGAGATAATTAGAAGGGACTATAAATAATCAATTGCATCACTCTTTCAATTTCTCATATTGAATGATGAATTGAAGCATATTAAGAATCATAGTAGTGAGGATATGAAAAATGGATGAACATGATGATAGACATTCATTATTTCATAACATGTTTGATAAATTCTTAGGCAAATGATGCATTACTCTCCCAACTACTTACAATTCTCAACTAGTTCGTTAGACTACACAAACTTCCAATCGGATCTCCTATTTATTGAACTTTATCAATTAACCTTTTCCTTTAAAGTCATAACAAAAAAAGAAAAAAAATTCGGGAAAAGATGCCATATTTGTCATAAATTTTACGGATGGAGAACAAGTGATATTTATATATTTATTTATTTTTATTTGAATTCCTATAAATAATATGTCAATAAACTATAATTCTGTTAAAATAAGATAGTCTATAGTTATACTAAAAATAAAACACAGTGTAGTTTATTCGTAAAACTTATAATTAACATGAAGTGAGGTTTATAATTTATGGATTTGAAATAATTTACGAGATGCATTTTTACAACTACAATTAACAACTTGATTTATTTTCATTTTTCTGACCACTACAAACAATTCGACAATAAAACTATTAAGGCTCGTCAATTAATAATAATATTTATATTTTTTTTATTATAGATAAAGATTTTATTATCCACAACAATTAAGCTACTAAACATGAAAGTCGTAAGATTATACAATAAGAGTTACCATAACTTATTTTTTTAGTTTGAAGTTTTAAAGAATGTTTTGAATCCGTGATTTTTTTGTGAAAAAAAAAAAAATTCCTTATCACTAATATTATATATGATTATTTTATATTAGTTCGTTTGAAGGTTTTGTCATTTATTATCAAAACCTTGAAAAAAAGCTCAACAAACCATATTGCTTTACTAGTCACCGACAAATTAGAGTTTGTTTTGTAAGCTGCCAAAAAATTGTCTTCGTGCGTATATATGCCGCTTTACTTATCGACCAACCACTTGTGTGCGTGCATGGCGATCTGTAAAAAGTCTTTTAATAAAACATATGTAGTAATTAAAACTCCTATTTTATTTGTTTCTTGTACTCTTCCATAGTCTTCAAAACACAACATTTTTGTCTGGATACAAAGTGGATCCTTCTCTTTCCATAAACTCAAATTATATATAATTGCGTGGATATGATGATGATATATGTTCAAAACTATATTTTATTTTTTTCCTTTCTTTTTAACGATCTAGGGATCCCCTTGTCCTAGCTTTTTCCCCAGCTAGTCTGAGATGTTAATTTTGAGATGTACTTTCTACACGTTTTTTTTTTTTTACCAAACTAGTGTTTTTATATAAATTTATATTTTTTTAGATTAATTTGATGTGAGACAATATTATAACAACGCATCCATTTTCCACTAAAAGGCTTTTAAGAAATTGATGGGGACAATTAAGAAAATCCAACCATCTTTTTCTGTAAGGATCCGACAGATTTTTTAATTGTTAAAATCAATGAATTAGAGACTAAAAATTTTAATTGTTGAAGAGCTCATTACCAGGACTTAGAAGCCTATTGGTAAGGCATCTCCTCACTTGATTGCTAATCTTCGCGATGCAAATTGATCGGACATTTTTGGAAGCGAAATATTAGAAAACAAACTTTATTAATCTTATTTAATTGTGATCTTCAATCAATCTTTTTTTCCCTTGCTTTTTTTTTTCAACAGCCTATTAAAAATATTTGAATAATACTAAAAATACTCAATTTTTTTTTTATTAAATGACATGGTATCATGCGATTAGTATTTTATTAAATACCACTCAATTTAATAATTATAATTATTCTATTAAACGTAATAAAATTTATATTCTATTATTTGAAAATCTTTTCTTAATTGTAATGGATACCACATTATTTAGTAAGCAAAACTTAATAAATTTACACTGTCCAAGGTTTTTCATATAAAAATAAACTAGTAATGTTCTAACTTATAACTGGAAAGCATTAAAATGGTTGAAGATATTAAGCAGTTTATTTCTCTGAATGGAGGAGAACGTTGGTTAATATATTTTTCCTTTTGCTACCAAACTAGAAAGAAACTCTTACCAAAACAAGACACATAATAGCTACAAGTATGGAATGAGTAAATTTTATAATACTCAAGTAGTAATTAGTGATATATACAGTAGTTACTTTATGAATTTACTTGTATGAAGGAGATAGACACATAAAATTATATCGGATCCATCAAAAGTGAGAAAAAGATTTTCATATTCTTTCAATTTTTTTAAATTTTCTCTTTCATGTTTTTTTTTTCTTTTTTCTTTTTGTATTTATCTCTCTCTTCTAAATGGATCTATAGAGTAATTATTATACATGTAATTACTTACTTTTCGAGTATTATAAAATTTTTCGTATCCAATATCTTAACACACGTAGCTGAGAATCTGTAGTTGGTTTATGATGCTTTGCCATTTTTCAACAACACGTGTGTATAGCCATGCAAAATATATTGCAACTTGCCTCTTTTCATTTGACACTTCATTTTCTGCTTACGGTTTTTAAAACTTCCGCTAGATTATTAATTCAGGAGTGAAGCTAAATTCTCTGCAATCAATCGGAGGCATTAATTACTTCTTGCACTTGTTCATAATGGGTTTTCTTTAATACCACCTCATTTATTGCAATAAATTAAAACTAATTAATATTGCAGAATGGCTGGCTAATCTAGTTGGCTTTTTATTGGAAAAATTAATGCCAACGATATTTTAAATATATTATTATGGACTTTACAATTCAACATTGTTGAATTAAAATTATTGCAATACAATGAAAAAGTTGAATAAGGGATGCTGGATCGAATCCCTATTCCGAGTATAGCAAAAATGTTATTCGAGATGAAGGACAAAAAAAAAAAAAAAAAAAAACAGACCCTTCTGGAAATACTTGATAATGTCATGTAATTATTAAATTCCAATCGTGTATGCAAAACGATTAAATTTAACAGTAAGCTATGTAATGGTTAATACATACTACTAGATCTGAAATCAATCTGTTGTATTTTATGTCTATTTTATTTTTGTTGAAAAAGGACAGTAATCCTCTAGCAAAAATTTGCAATCAACAAAAGGACATGATATGGTTCTTGAATCTAGCAAAATGGCCATCAGCTTGAGCTAACAAATGTCTGACAAAAGGTGACTAATCAGGTCACCTCATGGGCTGGACGTCCGTTACCGTTAGATGAAGGGTCAGATTTGGTCAGTTCAAACGTAACTCATGAGGGTTAGCATTTAACTCAACAAGAGTACGTAGTTCACTTCAATATTGCTCTATAAATACAGCTTTACTCCTCACTCTTCTTCATTGCTATAAGTGAAACCCCCATCTCTTTAATTGTCTCTCTTTAATCCACATGGATTTTCTACTTGTTTCTCTTCTCTTCGCGTTTTCTTTCCTCAGTTTTTTAATTAGATCAATTCTCTTGTAGTTATCATGTTCATTTAGTACCATATGAAGAAATTCAAGTTAAAAATATCTACTTCTACCTTAATTTTGTCTGATTTTTTCTCTTGAATTTTCCTTTTTTTTACCCCCACATGCCTCTCTACTTTGAAAACACATATCAAGTCCTCAAGGATTCTTGAATGTGATTTAATTATTTTCTCATGATCTTTAACTTAAATATTTTACTTCACATTTTATGGTCTGAAAACCCTAGAAGCTAGAAGTTGCTTGCATGCAATTAATTTGTACAATCACTCCCTTTTTCCCCTACTTCGTAAACCACTAGTATTACCTTAAAACATCGAGAAAATGTTGAAAGGAGTCAATCCAAATCATTTCAACAATTTTTATGATTCCGGTGAGAATCGATTTTCAGTTATAAAATCAAGTCCAACTCGATATGATACAATTGATGATGAAGTTTACAGCACCGATGAATTCCGAATGTATGCTTACAAGATCAAGAAATGCAATAGAACCCGCAGCCATGACTGGACTGAGTGCCCCTACGCCCACCGCGGTGAGAAGGCGACGCGGCGGGACCCAAGAAAGGTGCTCTACACAGCCATTGCCTGCCCAGCATTTCGCAATGGACAATGCCTTAAAGGTGATGAATGCGAATTTGCTCATGGAGTTTTTGAGTATTGGCTTCATCCTTCACGTTACCGTACACGTGCATGCAATGCAGGACGTTTTTGCCAACGTAAGGTTTGCTTTTTTGCTCACACACCCGAACAACTTAGGTCTCAAAAGAAACATATGTGTCGTCTTTTGTATAGGGCACGAATGAGCGGTGAGGATGGGCTCTTTGGGACTGGATCGAACAGTGAAGATGGTGCCGCATCATCGCCGATGTTTGGGTCCCCTATGGCCATCAGGATGGATGGTGGGAGTTATTTTGACGGGGTTTCAGATTTTTTGAATAATTTGACAAATTTAAAGATTGCTAATGAAAATGATCATGATCAAGAAATCAGGGGTCTTAAGAATGGAGGGATCAGTGAATTTGATTTGGAATTGCCACACATTGATTGGATTTCTGAGTTGGTGAAGTAATGTGACTGTTGATTAACTGAACAGAGAGTTAAGGAATCTTTTGGAAGATATGAATTTGTGGGCAGAGTGATTAATTATAGTTAAATTTGGTACCATTTTGTGGTTAAATGTTGTTTAAATAATGTGAGTGATTGGAAGAGTATTTGCTCTCTTTTTTTTTTTTTTTCCTTTCCTTTGCTCTTGTTTTGTTTGTTTGTTTTTTTTTTTTTGCCATTTTGTACTGGTGATGTAATGCTTTTCTTTTCGAATGTAAAGAAGTGTATAATTGCCAACTTTTTTGTCTCTCATTTGAGTCGTGTATTCCTTGTCCATGTTAAGAAAGGAAAAATCACATGTTTTTCTCTATCTTCACTAAAGTAATTATCATTAATACGTAATTAAGAATCTGATACTGATACAATTTTTACAATGAGCCGTCAAAATGTTAGAAGGCTAGATGTTATATCTAAATCTCATATTTTGTTTAATTAATTACCAAGTTATATAGTTAGTCTTGTTGAAATGCCCTTCGTTCAAAGAGCATATAATTTTGTTCGAGGATTTGGAGGAAAGTATACAAAACACTGGCCTGCAGAGATAGCAGTATGTTTTATAATTTGTCAACTTATAAATGGCATGCCAATTATTTTGAGCTCACATTAAAGACTGAAAAAATAAATAAAAGAAAACTATACAGTCAGGTGTAATCTAGAGGTTGTGAAGTTAATAATTTTTTTGAACGAAACAATTTTCAAATCTGAGTAATTACAATTTTCTCAATTCTGATAGGTAATAGATAATGAGTACTTTTATTGTGTAATTTAAAATTTATCGAACCTCCAAATAAAAAAATAAAAATAAAAACTATTAGGATCAGTACGATTATGATTAAATTTAGTGTATTGGTATTTGTGTAGTTCCTTGAATCATGATTTCTAAGTTCGAATCCTAATAATCCACGAACTTTATTCTTTTCCAAGAGACTTCCTTTGGCTTCAATAGCTGATTGTACTGCTTTTTTTTTTTTTTTTTTTTTTTTTTTTGTTCATTTCTAAGTTCGAAGTAGATATCCCTTGTAATAACCCAAAATTTTCTTATTTTATTTTATTTTATTTTTATTTTTATTTTTATTTTATTTTTAATTATTGTAGTTTATTTTATTTTATTTTATGTTTTTGTTTTTGTTTTTAATTTGAAGTTTATTAAGGAAAAAGAAAAAAAGGGAAAAGAGAAAGAAAATGATGAAAAAGAAAAAAGAAAAAATTGAAAAAAATGAAAAAAAATTCATTCAGAGGTGCAATTGAAGTAATTAGGGGTGTAATCGAGTCAATTGAAAAGTTTAGGCCTTAAATTGCACATCCGGGGACCTAATTGTTGAGATTACACTGAAATTATTTCGCAGAGGGGCGTAATTGCTGAAATTGAAACTCGAGGACCAAATTGGAAGTTTGGAGTGAACGACAGGACCGAAATGGAGCAAACGACCTGTCTTTCGCTCCAAGGAAGATTCTCTCCGAAAATCTTTGGGAGAATCTGCCCAAATCCTCCATGAATTTCGTGTTTTTGATTGTGTATTAATCATGGATTTTGTTGCCGAAACCAACACTAACAGGAATCAATGAGGATTTCCTGTTTTGATTTCACAATTAATCTCGAATTAAAGAGGAAGATTTTGATAGAAAATTGAGGGATTTCAATTCGATTTTAGAAAATTGTTTTGGCTATAAAATGTTTGAATTTCGGAAAGAAAAGGTGGGTGAATAATTCGGGTAGAGAGGTTTCGAAAATCATAAGCAAAAGGCTCGATTTTTAGTTTGGATCACTACATTTTTTCTGGGTTCCGGGTTGTAAGTTCATATTTCGGGTTTGTGTTCTTCAACCCGGAAACGACTTGAGGCATCTTTAACTTCAATTTAGGGAAGATTTCGGTTCGTTAGGACGAAGGAAAGGAAACCGAGGGCAAGATTTTAATAAATTCGTGAGAAATAAGCTTCATTGGTGCTTGCGTTTCCGGGTTTTTCTTTCGCATTTTCCGGGTTCGTCTTGGTGTTCTTCGGACGTTTCCGTGTGAGCCCCGAATTCGTTTCCTATTCTTTTGATTTGGTTGTTAGTTTTAAATCTAGATATCTTTACTTGCTATTTTGAATTGAAGTGCGTGTATGATTGAGTCTGTTGCTTGAAAGGGAGCTTAATTTTTGGAGAGTTTGAAGAACTAGAGAGAGAACTTGAAGAACGAATTAAGAACAAGAGAGAGAAAGTGTTAGGAGGCTCTTTGATCCATCCGCATTTGATTTTTTCACTCGGGCTTTGTTTCGGGCTTAAGCCCGGCGATTAAAAAAAAAAACAGGAAGAGAAAAACACTTTGGGCCGGACTTGTTTCGATCCAGCCCGTGTCTCCCACCCGTAAAAAAAAAGAATAAAAGGGGTCAGGCGATTTCAGCTCACCACACCCTTTACCCAAAAAAAAAAAAACAAAAAAAACGAGGGTAAACGAAAAAATAAACATAGAATTAGGGAAAAAAATATAAGAAAAAGGAAAAAATAAGGATGGGGGTAAAAAAAAAAAAGTGAAAGTGGTAGGTTAATATTTTAGGTATAGGATTTTTTCTTATTACTTTTATTTTTTCATTTATTTTTTAACCCGTTTATATAGGATAATTTTATTTATTTATTTATTTTTTTTATCTTTTTTAGCCTTTTTATTTTCATGATTTTTTTTTAGCTTGTTTATTTTTATTCCTTGTCGTTTTTTTATATTAATTTAGAATTGCTATTTCAATTTTATTGTTTTCTTTTCTTTAATATACATTTTTTTAAATAATAATTAAAAAATAAAAAATAAAAATAAAAATCTTGACGAAGTCTCCTATCCGATAGGGACCGACGTCATATAAAAATGTCTAAAAATTTCGACGAAGCTTCCTATCCGATAGGGGCCGACGTCATCAAAATCACTTTTATTTAAGATGCCCTCCGATACGCCGGTTGTGTCGAGGCTTTTTAGTGGATCCGATGCTTGAATCGATGTGTCACCCAACGAAGGGGACCGATGATCGTTTCAATATGATGTCACACCCAAAACTAAAAAAATTATTTAGGCTAAAAGATAGGAGATTAAAATTCAGAAAATATCTTGACATGGATTTGAGGGGATAATTCGAACTAAACCGTACATGGTACCTTTTTTGGAAAGGGCGCTTTTAGGCGATTTAATATCTTCCCAAAAGCGTAACCAATTCCTTACCTTAAGAATCTCCGAACCAGTCGTCGCTTTTAGGTTCCTAGTCCCTTAAATACTAGGTGGCGACTCCAAAACTCCGTAAATAATTTTGATTAATCAACACCCGAACTACTCTAATAATTTTTCTTTTGGGGGGTCCCGTCCGACGTCGCGTAGCGACGAATGGCGACTCCACTCGGGGACTAGAGTTAGGCCATAGGTTTAGTTTTTAATTTATCTCCTATGTTTATTTATTTATTTATTATTTTTTTCATTTTATTTTCTGAATTTTATTTATTTATTTATTTGTGTATATATTTAAATTTTTGTCATTTAGTTCTTTTTCTCTCTGTCGCACGTTTATTTTGAATTGGGTTGAATGCTTTTTCTTTCAATCGTTGCACACACCACGAAGGAAACCCCTAAAAGCTCCGGACCCGAGCCGAACCCTAATAGGAATTAGATAGAGGGATTTGGAGGCGAGTATGACGAAAGTCTACCGATGCTCTTCCAAACTCTTGTTTAGACCGAAACTCACCCTATGCATTGGAAATGGTGGAATAATCTTCCCCTATCTCCTACCGTATAAGGCTAGAGGCCGGATTACCACACTCGGTAATTTAGGCGATCTAGAGACTTGAAAAATCATTAGGGCTAGTCAAACTTAGCCCAACCATAGAAAAGCTAGATCCTATCTGTTAGGGTTGACTCGATTAAGACACGAATTATTATCAAGTAAATGACGATACTAACCCTTGGTTTTACAGGTTATCCTTCATATTAAATCATGACAAAAGAAATCGAAATGAGGTCGAGGATTTTAGGGTCGGATCCGAGTGGGCCCAAAATGAGGAAGGAGATTGTCCGCCTTCGAATTTCGTGTCGAAACTACCGTAAAGGGTTAAGTTGGCCGACAGGATGGCTAACACCGATCCGCTTCTCGCTTGTTGGGAGATGCTCACTTCTAAGGACCAACTCGATTTTCGTAAAACATATGGGGACATAGCTTATCCGTTCAAGATCAAGGCCCGGATCGCATGCTTTCAAGCCATGATAGGCCATTGGGATCCGCATTATCGTTGCTTCACCTTCGGGAGTGTAGACTCGTCACCTACACTTGAGGAATATGAGGCTCGTTAGTATTTCCCAAGAGAGACGCCGTCTACTTCTACAATCCGTCGTAACATGCTCCATCAAACTTTGCATGGTTGATTGGGACTAACACCACTTTAGCCAAGAAGTAACTAACCCAAAGGGATAAATCTCAAGGTTGGTTTTGGAACGTCCTTCAAGTGGAATTCATGAAGCATTTACAAGATGATGATAATCAAGTCGGACTTCGAATCTTGGCACTAGCAATATATGGACTAGTGTTGTTACCATCACCGAAAGCATGATCGACGTTGAGGCGATCAACGTATTTAAAAGTGTAGTATCTCCGAAGGTTAATCCCACCGCAACAATCCTAGCAGAAACTCTCTCTTCATTAAATTTCTATCGAAGAAAAGGAGATGGGCATCCGAGGTGTTGTGTGCGGTTATTATTTATATGGACCGTGAGCCATGTGGTGAGTGGGGAAGCCTCGGGTATTTTTCGCACCCCATGGCATTTGCATTCTAAGCTCGGAGAATTTTGCTTGTCATGCCCTCAACGAGTTAGGCAAGACAATGTGGGCCGAATTATTCTTCGCCTTAGAGAAGTCGAATTTCATTGGATAGCACGATATGCCTTCTTTTGGAGTTACACGACCTTTTGTGGTAAATTTCCTTGGGTGCCACTAATTGGAGCTCGTTGTTGCATC